TTCTAGGTGTCCTTCTGAGTGTCCCAGGTGGATTCCTGTTGGGATTACCGGGAAAAATCCTTCTAGGTGTCCTTCTGAGTGTCCCAGGTGGATTCCTGTTGGGATTACCGGGAAAAATCCTTCTAGGTGTCCTTCTGAGTGTCCCAGGTGGATTCCTGTTGGGATTACCGGGAAAAATCCTTCTAGGTGTCCTTCTGAGTGTCCCAGGTGGATTCCTGTTGGGATTACCGGGAAAAATCCTTCTAGGTGTCCTTCTGAGTGTCCTAAGTAGATTCTTGTTGACAATTCTAGCGAGAATTATCCTACGGAAGCTTTAAAGTCGCCGCGGGAGAATCGTGCTGAAGATACTGAAGAGATTATTTGCATTATCCTCCAAAGTCTCATCGGGAGAATTCTCTCAGAAAGGCTGAAGAGAATGGTAACAGCTATCCGCCGAAATCTCCATGGCAAAATCACGCCGGTGATTGAAGAAGACTCTGTCCCTGATGATAGATTCTTCATCCCCTATACCATTTGGATACCTCTATTTATCACCCAATATGCCAGGTGCCATACCAACCATGCTAAAGAGCTTAGTATCAGCTTATCAGGGATGTCACAAACCTTAAAGGAGTCTGGCCCCCTGATGAATTACCAGTGCTTAACTGGTCTTTGGGAGTATCGATAGTTGAATGAAATGTCTGACGTGTTATGAAGGTCTCCTGATATCAAGGGCGCAAGGGCATGTCGGGACGAGGAATGAATGAATAAGACTCAGCTTTACAAGAAGCATCCAAAATACACCAGGGCCAACCGAATGAAGTGCAAGGAGTACGATTCCTACCGAATATACTACCATCAACTCCACATGTATTTTTTCGGAATTTCAGAATTTTCTAAATTTTATTAAATTGCGGAAGGACACCTAGAAGGATTTTTCCCAGCAGTCTCAACAGGATTCTACCTAGGACACTCAGAAGGACACCTAGAAGGATTTTTGCCAGCAGTCCCAACAGGAATCTA